TTCCTATTTTGACTTTGTATGTCGAAATGTCAGTTATCTTACAATTTACGACTTTATTTCTTGTAATTGCAACTTTTTATTTATTTATCACATCTCCTAATTACTTTTTTAAATTATTTACTTTGAGGTGGAAACAGGTTTCTATTCATTTACCATCAAGCCACTACAGCCATGTGTGTGTGTGTGTGTGTTATGTATGTATGTATGCATGTATTATTCCAGTCATTTAGAGGTAAAAGCAAAAGTTTTGACCGTACAATAAAGTTACAGAAAGAAAGTGCTAGTACATAGAAATGCTGCAATTGCGTAGTCATAATGTCTGATTTATTCATGGAAACACATGCCATTTACAGGAAGGCCTCTAAACAGGAACCTGGTCAGGAAAAGAGCTGTTGCACCATATTAAAGCAGTAATCAGAAGAAAAGTGAATCATACAGGGGCAAAGGTGTGCCTCCCATCTGTGCGGTCCTGATGTCTTTCAGAGAGGGTCAGGAGGTCACAGTCCTGCTGCACACTGTAAGATTCGGAATGAAGAGTCTGTTATGTTCAGATCAACAAATCACAGTATACACAATTGCATATACACCTTAATGCACTCACTTTTCAATACAAAAATGAGACCCTGAAGTTGTTTTAGCACAAGACTTGATATCAGAATGATTTATAAGCCTCTGACAAACATGGTCAAGATCGTTACACAATTAATAGCCCCTTAACACTAGTCTTTTCTAAGACACGAGTGTAATCACGTCACAGAAACTCATCCAAAAGCACTAATCCTCCTTTATTTTGTAAGCTGATAGAGCGACCATATGCCCCTACATATCACACACTCAATTTTAGGTGAAACCAAGCCCTGACCTCCCCTCCCCAAAATAGTGTTATATTTCCAAGGTCTAATATTAATCTGTACTTTTCCCCCCTCAGGATTAGGCCACAGCACTCCCCCACTCTTCTCTTTTCCACTTAGACCGGTGTTATTGCCATAGATGCACTCAGATTAGTCATGTGTTTATGTTGACAGCGGCTGTAGCTGGATTAGGTCATGCTTGTGGGACGAAGGGGAGGGATGTCTGTGTCCGCCTGCATGCTCATCAGGGGCCCCCATCTCGTTTGACCTGCACCTATAGTCTCCCCATGCTAAACTGACAATAGGTCGGGCAAGACCCTCGCCACATGCAGACTTCCATTGTCCTGAGACGTAGAGTGGCCCAGACACAGAGGGGGTGGAACGGGTGCAGCTTGATGGAAAGAGAGTGGTGACAATGAAAATATGGGACCGAGCAACATCATAAAGGTATTATGAAAGTATTTTGAAGAAAGTTTGAGTCACAAATTCCAAAGCAGTTGTCCTTTTTATGACAGTGTCAGACTGCAACACATGCAATATTAATAAAATGCATCGTTTGGGTGGGGGGGATCTTTTTTTCCAGTGTCTCACCCTGGTGGGTAGTTCATACAGAGATTGTGTCTCTTGCAATGTTGCAAGATGTACTTAGGCAACAGTATGTGTTAGTGTGCGTTGGTTTGTTGGGGAGGTGACTAGGAGCTCACGTGGTCACAGTATGTTAAACCTTTCCTCAGGTTTTTGTTGACTCATTCTCTCAGTTCTCTTTTATATTTACAAGAATTTGCTGATTTTTAAACTAACTTTGCCTAGACTAAACCGTGTCACTCTCGTCTATGTGAGGGGCTAATGGCGCTGTAGATGATGTGGCAGAACTTCCCTCTTTCCATCCTGTGCCCACAGGTATTTTGTCAGCAGTCTATGTTCTGTGTTTTTGTGGCATAATCAGGCCTAACTAGTTGTTCAGTACTAGAAAAGACTCCGACCATTCGGTGTTGTCTTCTCCTTGACTTTTTCCATCTGAAAGATCAACGGTAGTGGTCTCTGATGTCCTGTCAAACATTATTGGTAAAACTATATCGAGTGGAAGCATTTTCTGCTTTCAAGTTTTCTGAAAGCAGTAAACTCCCCCTGACTGATGATGCAACAGGAGGTTTTGCTCTCTGTAAATGCTGTGGTAGTTTGATTTGTTCTCAACACTCACTGGTTCTTCAATGGTTAATGTCATTCTTTTTTTTCTGCCAATTCACACTTGATCAATAGTTGACAGAATAATTAAATATTTTCTATTTTTATTTATTTTTTTAAGATATTCCTTTTTTCAGTGATGCCAAAACAAATATCTAAATAGCAGTAATGATTAAGTCCTAACAATTTAACAAAAGTACATTCAGGGCAAACGATGAAGAGAGCAGAGGAATCTTGTTATAAATGAGACAAAGGGATCATTTGGGAACAGAAGTATGTGGGTGAAATGTAAGAATATGAGGTCACGTTGGTTTCTATCATTGTGAATGGCAGTTGGAGAATCAGGAATTGAATATATGCCGTTTTATCCTCGGAATGTATTAGTGAGAAATCTCGCGAGGGGAGCTGATTCCAGTCAAAGTGAATGAGTAATACAGCAGAACTTCTGCTACCAATTGACACAACAGCACACACAGAATGGTTAGCTGAGCACCGTCCTTGTTATACTCGATTCTTTCGTTTACTTCTCCAGAAAATAGGTAATAGTGTCTCAGAATACAAAATAAATAAATAAAATAAAAAATAAAAAATAATCGATACAAATACATTTCTAGGCTAGGGTTTTATTCTCTCGACTATATGATCCAATTTCACGCCATTCGTTTACTTCTCCAGAAAATAGGTAATAGTGTCTCAGAATACAAAATAAATAAATAAAATAAAAAATAAAAAAATAATCGATACAAATACATTTCTAGGCTAGGGTTTTATTCTCTCGACTATATGATCCAATTTCACGCCTCACTCTACAGCGGCACAAACACGCATTCATAAAAATAAAAATGCATAAAGAGGGAAAAAAGAGTGCAGTCAGCGTCTAGTGTTCCCATGCTTTATGAAGAAAAAAGTAATATTGAATATTATATTAACACTTTATTAAAAAATAAAATACGTATTATTATTATTATTATTATTATTATTATTATCATTACTGTTAATATTATTATTATTATATGCGTCATGAGCAACGAGGAATTTCCAAGCTAGTGCGCAATGCTCAAGCAATGTCTAAATAAATGTATCGGTTAATATAAACGCCTCTAGTGAAATCCAGTTGGTCTTTAATGAGTACATCAAACAGCACTGACATTTTATTGGTCAATTAGTAATCCATACAAAAAACAAATGCATGAATTTAGGGAGGGTAAATTTCTTCACACTGTACCAATCAGAGTGCTTCTAATAAATCAAGGAGTGTTGTATTAAAATGAAAGATTAAGGGCTAAAGAAGACTGAGCGAAGTGGGGAACTGTTTGAAAAAATATCGAGATTTGTTGTTAGCTTAGATTTTGGTGGAAATAATTGATTCTTGATCGCCTGCTGCAACGAATTCATCACGTCTGGCTTGAAATATGCAACATAAATTCACTACACTATCACTTTTAATTGCACTGTGCACCCTGGAGCCCGTTAACAGTCCGTATTTTATACAGTGAATCACATATAAGACATAGGCGTGCAAATATGCAACATTCATCACCGCGCAAGGCAAGAAGTAACAATGAAATGTCAGGTGAAAGAGCGCGCGCACGCACACACCACATACAGGTGAGCTACCTGTCAGATCACTCCAGCACCGGCAGCTTCTCATGCATCCTTTCAGCTCTTCTTCCTTAAGATTATGCTGTCGATGCTCGAGTTGTAGCCATTCTTGCTCTGCTCCGCTTACAGGATAGAATGTCCACTGCCTCACCTTTCCAAAGTCCCACCTGTGTTGCAGAACGATAGACGCGAGCACCTGATGTGGTTCATCAGACGACCTCAGTGTTTCTCCATCTATCCCAACGTGTAAAGATAGGTGGCGTGTGTGTCAGAGTCTCGGAGCGCAAAAGTAAAAGAGAGAGCGCAGAAATGTCATCTGAAGAGGCGGAACACGTCAGTGCGTCCTCAGGTTTGTTCCGTGTTGTGGCTCACAGAGATCAGTCCAAACCTGTCCATCAGGAATAACGGTCCCTCATTATAGAGCAGAGTCCTCCTCAGCGCTCCAAACATCTCTGTGGCGTTTGCCTCCCCTCTAACCGGCTCTTTGGGGAATTTTCATATAGAATCGGGTAGGTGAGCCTGTTTCGTGTGTACTTGAGTCCTTGTGGATGCTTTTTATACACCCTATTTGACTTTTTAACCCCCTCCCGAATATGAGATTGCAATCAACTTGGCTTCAGCCGGCGCAGGTGAGAAAGGTGCGCGCGCCTCACGGATGCTGACACACCGGCAGCTTCACGCAAGGATGATGATGATGATGATGATGATGATGTCGCTCGTTAAATTTATTAGTGCATGTTTACGTGTCTCTCATAAACGGATGCTTTCCCTTTAGACAACAACATAAGAACCCTTTTCTGATCCGCATCTCTTAAGTCTTATTTTAGTTGTTAGGTACACGAGTTTTAGTCTAAATATTTTAACATATTTGATTGAAAAAAAAAAGCTGTAAAAAAAAAAAAAAAAAAAAGCCAATACAAATAATAAATAAAATATTGCAATGCAAATAAATAATAAAGGCAACAAAGATAAATCATAAACATGAATTTAAATGAACACTCCACTATTTTTGAAAATAGGCTCATTTTCCTACTCGCCTAGAGTTAAACAGTTGAGTTTTACCGTTTTCGAATCCATTCAGCCGATCTCCGGG